GGAGCTCGGAGCTCGGGGCAGCAGTCGTTCAGCTGGCGGCTCTCAGCGCCCTCCAGCAGCCACACCGGATACAGCAGGCTTGCCCCCGACCTGCCGCGGACGCCCCATCTGCTAACAGGTGCAAGGTCACCTCCCGGCGTGGCTGGCAGAGAGGAGAGGAAGCAGACGTGCCGGGCCAGGACATCACTGGAAGCAGCAGGGTCTAGGACGGCGCCGCCGCCGAGGACCCAGAGGAGCAGGGTGCTGGTGAGGTCCTGGGCCTCCAGGGCAGGAAAGCAGGCGGACGGGGCGAGCAGTGTGGGTGGGACGCTGGGGGACCTGTTCTGTCCCCAGAGGGAGCTTAGTGCCACCTCGATAGGTCTCGCCGCCCAGTCACCCCAGGACGCACGCTCCGCCCTCATAGCTGTTACAGCTGCAGCCACCCCGGACTTGCGTCCAGCTCTGGGTTTACAGGCCGTCTCCCGATGGCGGTGAGCGCAGGGCCCTCGCGCCTGGGATGCATGAAGGCGAGGGAGTCCTGGGGTGCTGCCCCCCGCACCCTGCCAGCAGTCTGCCCTCAGTGGGTGCCACCACGTGAAGGCAGCAGCTGCCAGATGCCCAGGGCCAAGCAGGCACCCTCGGCCCCTCTCAGGCCTCCATGCTGCAGGGAGGGTTCTGGAATCTTCCATGAGTCTGCGAGGACAGTTGTGCCTGCTGGACAAATCCACCAGCAAGGACTTTCCAAGGTTTGGGAGATGAGCATTCAAAAACCTGAAGGTCACTTGTTTTAAGCCCCGAGTTCCTGGCAGGGCCAGTGCAGGGCCAGGCCCGAGGCCCCGGGCAGAGCTCACCACCTTCCCCGGGCCTTGTCCTCTACCCTTGGAGTCGGAGCACCCCTCAAAACTAGCCCTGGTCATGGGCTGGGGGGTGCTCTGGGCAGGGCCTCCACGTCCTGCGACCCCCGACTCAGTGCCAGCCCGGGCCAGCCACAGGAGACCCACCAGCTGGAGACAGGCCAGCCTGAGGTCCCAGAGGGGGCCCTGCGGCCCTTCTGTCCCGGGGCCACAGGACCCCAGACAGGAGCCCCCACTCAGAGTGACCAAGGCTGGACGAGGCTGGCTGCTTCTGCCCCGTGGGCTTGAGGAGCTGGGGTCTGGTGACCCCTGCGGGCTGGAGTTTCCCAGACAGCCTAGGCAGGGGGGTGGGGGATGCAGGGGACGTGGGCAGGGCCCCGCACTGGTTTCCCCACAGCTGGCTCTGGGGAAGATCCAAGCAGAGACCTAATGACGTTCAATGACTGAAAGCAGAAAATGTGTGTGTGTCTGTGTGTGCGAACACACACACGTACCTGCCCTCTCGCGCCCACAGACGCTGCACTCATCTGCCGTCACGGCCACGGCCTGAGGGCTCTGACAGGCGCCACGCTGACCGAGGAGGGTTTGTCCTCGTTTTCAGCTGGCTCAGCACCCTCCAAGCTCACACGGGCCACGAGGTTGTGGGAACGATGGGCCAGGCTCGGGGAGCATGTATGTAAGGGGTGTGGCCACAGCTTCGCACTGTGCGTGACAGTTTTGTCTCCCAAGTCACCGTGCTAGGACAACCAGGAGACACCCCCTAAGTGTGATGAAAAGGGGGGCTGCTAGGACAGTGATGACTGCCCCCCCACCGAAGCCAAAACAGTCGTCCCCACGCCTGCAGGCGGTCCCCACTGAAAAGCACAGCCTCCAGGATGGGACGGGTTTTAAGGTACTTTTAGCCACTTACACCT